ATACTTGCTTGCGGTTGTCACTAAAGGTGCCATTCAAAATGGGATCGTCAGTGCTATGCACCTGTATGGGGCAAAGTAAGTGGTATCTCGTCTGTAGGGTATTAATTGCCCCCCCCCCCCCACCATGCATTTCATGTACCCTGCCTTAAGGCGCTCTGGTGACCGAAGGGTGGGGGTTGGGAGAGCAGGCTAGGACGGAAGCGCTTGAAAAGGACGAGGACGAAGGACAGGGAGGGAGGGTTGATGACGGAAGGGTACCCAGTTCGCGGACGGAGGACGGACAGGCAAAATAGTGTCAAGTGACCATCTCTGTTAATATACCATTGTGACTATGTATAACATCACGAATGTGATTTGTTTGCATCATCCAGTCCTGAGTTTTAACTTTGACTTTTGAGATCTGCACAATAATTGCACTCAAAATTACATTCGAGTAGATCTCATCTTTTTTTTTTTAATATTTACTGCCTGAAACATTTGTATGCCTCTTATTTAGATTGATATCTAGTTTAATGCTGAATGCATTTCTCATTTGATACAGATTTACTGTAATTAATTTCACTTCAAAGTAAAGTGAGAAAAGGTATGCAGTCAGTGTGTGCTATCCATTTTGTCTTGATTAACTGAAAATATCTACATTGCGGCTTATCGTTAGCGTGTTTTTTTTTTCCCATATCACCCCATAGCACTCATGACTGAAATTGTTGTTCATAGGTCAAAGCGAAAAAAAATGAAGCAAAGCAATGGCTCGTATCATGAAAAACTCCTAACTCAGGTCACTCGGAAGTGAAGGTACCAGTGTACTTCCCCTTCAAACAACATCTCAATTGACTTTGTGCTGAAGACATCCACAGAGCAGCAAAAACTACAACACAGGAGGGTGAAGCCAAAAACAAATTGATGCTGTTTTGTTTTAATAAATCAAGTGGCAACAACCTTGGATAACTGCTTTGAGCGTTTTTCTCTGGGTACTCCAACTTCTTCTCCCATTCCAACAACTTGCATCTTATGCACTTTTAAGATTGTAATTTATCCGTAGCTGTGAATGTGAATTTCAATGGTTGTTTGTCTATTCAAGCCCTGTCATGAGCGAGCTACCAGTCAAAGGTGTATGCCGCCTCTCACCCAAAGTCAGCTGGGACAGGCTGCAAGTCCATCCAGGACCCTAATGATGATAAGTGTCATAGAAAACGGATGGATGAATGGATGCTGCAAGCACAGGAGTGACGAGGGCATCATATGCATGATTTTTGGCCCATACCTGGGTATTCAAGCACAAAAATTATGATCATGTTCCAAACATAAATGCGACATGCGTTTCCATTCCATTCTGGTCAGTTTTCAAAGTTTGAATACAAGGTTGCAAACCAGCTCTATATTCTGACCCAATTTAAAAATCCAAGAAACAAAAAGGGACGCTGCTCATGTTGGGGACAGTTGGGGGTGGGGGCAAAGTGTTTTGTTTTTCCTCGGGGGGGCGCAACAGAAAATAATTGAGAAGCACTGCATTAGTGGTGTCTGACAAAAATATGCAGCACAGAACAAAGAGAATAGAAGAGAATAACGAAGCCTGTTGAAATGTACATAGAGCATGTATAGCTGATCAACACCTCATTAACTGTCCCGCAAACCCCCGATGCGTTTACATACAATCATGGCACCTGTCTAACTGAGCACATTATCCCCTTTTTACTGCACACACGCCAGGCTCAGGCGTGCACACACACACACATAGAGTAGGTGTGCAAACACACAGAGTGCAAATCTGTGTTAAATCCCCCACATGAAGTCGACATGCGAGGACCTCATATCAAGTAGGTGATGTGCAACCTCGAGGATTAATATAATCTGTTGGCCATGGAGTCTAGTATGGAACTACATCAAGTGCAGACACCAACATATTTCTGCACGAATATAATAATATTGCAGATAAAGCCTGCGCGAAGAGAGCATTTGTCAGTGGGTGCACCAGATGCCTCCATTGAGAAAACCTTCTCCAAATAAACACATACATTCACCATGTAGCCCATGGTTCATATTTAAATGTAATATTGTGGTTAAAATAACTCATCCGATAAAGACGGGGATAGACCTTCTTTAAAATAGTGTCTTTTTCTTTGTAGTTTTTGTGCGATCTGACAAAATTCTTCCCTATACCAAATATCAGAATCTGTGAAGTATACATAGGGCACAAAGTCGTTATTTGTCTGTGATTTCCACACATTCTGTCTAAATATCAACCAAAGAGCAGCGAGTCTGAGCATTAAGCTTTATCGTTTATCATGAAAATGACATGCGGACATAATCATGTCTGCAGAGCAGACTATTATGCCGATTAAAATGAATATCTTAGGTTTGCCATCACATTTTAATAACATTAACCATTAACACCAGCGCCAAGTCATGCACATGCACACACAACTGTTTTGTCGAGACCACATCCAACAATTCCAAGGGCCAATTTACAAGGCTGACCGCAATACAGTGGAGGATTCGATCAGTTTGATTCAGTGATATTATGATTTGATATGGTACAGCTTAACTTATGATGAGGGGATGCTGTAATGAGTTTCTTGTTGTCATTTAAACTTTTCAGAAATACATCTCAGTTAAAAGACAATTCGATACGTATCACGATATATTTTGAACTCAAATAATATGACTGATTCATTTGTGCGTGCGTGTGCGCGCGCATGCGTGATTAGTGCGTCGGCCTCACAGTGCAGCTGTGCAGGGTTCAATTCTGGCTCCGGCCTTCTTGTGTGGAGTTTGGGTGTTTTTTTTAAAGACACATTTGAGCAACAAAATTATTACAGATTTAGATCTATTTATACATGTACTTTACTTGGATGAAGTACACTGCACACAGAAAATGGTTTATCATTTCTATATTTGACCACCATTCTTCAAAAACAAAAACACCTTAAACAAAGAATATATTTGATAATTGCTTTGATATTTCCCAATACTTAGTGCCGCTATGACAAATACCCAGTAATAATGTTGACTATTCATTGTCATCCTAAAAATGGAGTCGAGGGACGCTAAGGAAGCTAACACACAGCGTGGTTGTAGTGAATACATTTCATATCTTTAATAATGTTATTGTGGGAATTCAGCAAGTCTGCTTTGCCTTGTGTTGTTTTTATTGTGGCGATGAATGTAACAATGAATTTCCTTTTCGGATGAAGATAGTTATCTGTAGTATGGCTTCATCTACCTGTCCATCCATCATGTGGGCCTCACTTTGTGCACTGGGGCCAATGTTTCTGTACAAGTGCAGGTTTTCACATGCTTCTCCACTATGACACTGGGTAGCCTCATTCTTTTGTAATGTGTTTTGAGTTAGTGTTTACCATTCCTCGGGTGCCAAGATAACTTCTGGATTCGTTTTGTCTGAACACCCAGATAACCGCACAAGGACATGCTAATATCAGGTGTACTCCCAAACACTAGGCTGAGAATTACCTGCACTACTTGTTGTTTTTGACTTATAACTCATGATTTGTTTTATTTGGCCAGCTATCTTTTTTTTTAATCAAGTGGAGCTCAGTTTTATATATACAGTATATATAAAATTAAAGCCTGAAAGGTGAAAGGAAGAAGTGTGTATCTATTTTGTGAGCGCAAGAAACAGACCCATGCTCTCTGGTGTTTTGGGGACTTTTGGAGGCAGTTGGGTTTCAAGTGACAACAAGAAGACTACTCTGTCTGGCCTGATATGTGACACTGGCCAAAAATCCTAATGGCTCTAGTATCACGATTCGTTTGGGTGCATAGACAGCAAAAAAAAAAAAAAAAAATCGTAATCTGACTCCATACATTACATTGTGTGCCTCCTTCAAATGGAAGATGTACCTTGCACTGCACTCTGGTGGTAGAGTGTGGTAATGTCACAATTCTTTGCAAAAGAAAAGCATTAGGCTATATGTTTAATGCCCTGCTCACATTTGTAGTTTGGTACTCTGGTCTGTACCACAATAAAATATGTACAGTATTATATAAACTCTTGTAAAGTGTCTGAGTACAATGGAAAGCGCTTTCAAAATTAAATGTATTATTATTATTATTTTATAAAATAAATGTAGTGCAGGAATTTGGTCTTGTTTGTTTAGCATTCATATTAGCACATTTATCATGGGACCCAAAGTTGCCCAGGAATAAAACTGGATTCAAATTGGTAAACTGATTAGAAACGTTAACAAATTTCAATATTACCTCACCTAAAAAAATATATATTCTGTTTTATACTGTCACATTGTTACCAGCAGAGAAGTCTTTTAAAATTGCTACAATATACTTTGAAAAGCACCACACACATTTCATACAGAGTACACGCAGAGTTGGAGTTCTTTAAGCATTTGTAATTACCTTAACAGCCGTGCTAATTTCTATTGCCCATCATTGATGCTAGTGTACTTTCTTTAGTTGAAATTATCTTGTTTGGTTTAACATTTTTGTGTTTAAATGTACAATATCTAATACTCTTTTGTTTTATGTGACACTTTTACACTTAACTTCGACTTGGAGTGACAATTTTAAGCAAGCATGCTGTGCCTTTTATTTGGACAACTGTGATCGCAGGCGCCTTATTTTTCGTTTCCTCAAAGTGATGCTATATGATGTCTCCCATGGCTTGACAGTGAGAGTGTGAAAATGAATAAAAATGAATAAGGTACGATTCAGCATAAAAAAATCCGTATCAGTCAGAGCCTACTTTTCATTACAAAGTCTCTTATAATATTGTAGAATTTTACCTATGACGGGGTGGTCTGAAAAATAAACCCATCAATTAACAGGGGTTCACGATAAAATGATTTGGTTGGTTTGCTCAGAATCTTACAATGCATTTGATGTTAAAAAACAAACAATAAAAAAGTAAAATGCTGCTGTCAATTTGTATGCAGTACAGTCACCACTGCTGTGTTACTGATGAAAAATCGACCACCCTAAAAGTCAAAATACAACGCAAGCCAAATTAAAGTGAAAGCTATACTCACAGAAGTTTCCAGGCGGCTGTAAACTGTGTTTCGTCAGCACGCACCAACCGACGGGGAAGATGTCTCTGGAGTCGAAGGGGCACCAATAGTCAAAGGCACCTCGCCAGCCATCAAACATGACAAAGATCTCCTGACCTTTGACCTCACCCACGGTGGCTGGACAAATTAGGTAAGGGTTCTTCCTGTCCACGGCTTCCAGCTTCATACCAGGCTTGAAGTAGTTTTTAATGGGGCTAACAGGTTCCTAGACACAATTTATTTTTGAGTTCAACATTATCCATTATATGTACAGTATTTATATAACCAACCCCCCCCCACACACACATACCCATTTATACACACACACACACACACACACACATACATATAGATAGATAGATAGATAGATAGATAGATAGATAGATAGATAGATAGATAGATAGATAGATAGATAGAGATATATATTTATTTATTTATTCATTCATTCATTCATTTGAGCATACTTCAAGAACAAACCTTCTTAAAAGCAGAGGCTGGTGCCATCTCTGCTCCACTCAGCGTTCGGAGGAGGAACATTGGCCACGAGGAGGCGTTCATTCTAAAGCCTGAAAACAAAGGCGAGCCGATATTCAATTTCATTTATGATGCTAGTGAGGACAAGCAGTGTAGTAAAAAGGATGGATCAATAAAAATGTGTTGATTTGCAGCAAGACTAAAAGTAGCGCCGCCGGCTGAAGGATGACTGACATTATGCCAACCACTGTTGGACTGAGTTTTTACTGGAGCATTGTACACCTGAAATAGAATTCAATGAAGTAAAAAAAGAAAAAGATCAGTTCATCACGTACACACAATTATTAGGGCCCAAGCTATTACACCAACAGAATGGAGTTGGAGTGAATTACCCTTGTGGATGAATAAAATGTGTCTCTCTATCTTTCTATCATCAGTATCATCAATCCATCTAAAGATGGGAGTTGGAGTCTCTCATTGGCAGGCTAGAACAGCTTCCACTTTTATTTTAGTTCATCTAAAAGTTGTTTGCTGGTGTGGACAGGGCTCTCAAGTTATTAAACACCAAACCCATCCAAACTTTATGGTGCACTGCGACAAAGTCATGCTGGAACAGAAAAGAGCCTTCTCCAAACAGACCGATGTTCAAAGAGTAGAAATGTCTAAAAATCTCTTGGGAAAATGAAGAATTCTAGCATACCGTACATTGTAAGTAAAGTGTAACAGAGGATTTTCCTTGGCAGGAAAACACTGGTAATAGTAATAACATTGACAATGGATTTTCTCCATGAACGCATCCAATTAAGTTGGCCTCTAAAAGAGATGGCGCTAAATGGAATCATTACTTTTGTACTCTACAATGTGTGTGAAGATGCGAATGAAGGCGGCATCATGAAAGATGTTGATTGGTGGATGAAAGTAGAATGGCTCAATCTTAGATGCAGTCTATTTACTAGTTGCTATTTTATGATTTCTGGAATATGCCGTTGGTTCAATCAGGTTCATAAATGTGTGTGCATCCACCATGAATCCTCCCATCCTGTGTATGAAAGGGCATGCACATTTAAATGTAGTCTCACCCAGCGGGGGCTGCAGCATGTCACCATTCCTCTCACAGGTGCCTATTGGTTGGATGTCAGACGAGTCGACCAGTCTCCAGAAGTCATTGGTGTTGTCGCTCCCATCCAGACGCAGGCGTAGTCGAGTACCCATCATGCCCATCACAGTGGCGATGCAAACGGAGTTGGAGTTGCGCGGGTCGCGAGCCTCAAGCTTCATGCCAGCCTTGAAGTCATTGGAGGGGGGGATTCTGGACTGTACACACACACACACGCATGCGCACACAAAGGGAACATCCATCACTGTAGTGTAAAGGTAGGTTAATTTGAGTGAAACTAACATGACCGTTTACACTACAATGTTCCCCCCTTGCATAATGCAAAGCATCCTTCGCTCAGTATATCATGGAGTTTTTGTACTTCTTATGAACACAGACATACTAACACTTCCATGTTCGCGAAAACATTTTAATATATTCTTCTGCAAGTCCTAATTGAGTGTTGTGCGCATTTAGTGCACTGCAGTAATACGTTACAAAAAAAATGTGACTTCTGATGTGAATGGAACGCAGCCATGAAGCGACACGCATGCGCAGAAAACACTGCGCCACGTGGCGGATTGCTGACGCAAGTCAACGTAGCCGCGTGTATGTCCACCTTCGATCTAACGCATTGGCAAGTTCACAGGTTTTGCGCTTGAATCAGTCCCCCGATATGTTTATCAGTTATGCAATCTTCTTGTCACCACTGACTGCTTTCTGCTCCTTCATTCACCATTTTCTCTTTCATTTAGAACTGCTTCAAACAACAAAGAGTATGAGGGAAAAGTGGTTAAGATTGCACGACTGTCCGTGTTTTTATGTTGTGTTGTGTTTATTATTTTACTTTATGTTCACTGTTTTGTATAGTGCTTTGTTTCAGCTGCAGCTCTTGTGAAAGCGCTATACAAATCAGGATGTATTGTATTTCTTTTCGTGCTAATCTGTTTTCTCGACCAATTGCGATAATTTTTGCAGAGGGTGGATAGGCAGGACTTGAGTGTCCAAACAGCAAAAGCCACATATTAAAGAGGCCTGGGTTATTTTTGAAAGGGAAAAAAAATGGTACTATGCACATTAATGCGGAAAAAAGCCGACACATTGGGCGGAAAAAAACTGCAGTATGAACATGACCTAAGTAAGAGTACTTGTCTTCAGTGTTGTTGCCCTGTGGGTGTAGCAGTAGCTATATTAGCCCATTTGCAGGATTTTGCATACATTTACTTACTGGACCTTCATCATATTAAATTATATGCTTTGTTTGGTCATTTATGAATTCAAATATTAGTATGTTTAATCTTGTTGCATGCTTGTATGATTTATAATGATCCTAACATCCACGCGAATTTCCGTTAGCCTGTCAATGCTGTCTTGTATTGTATGTTGGCATTAAACTAACAAACGGCTGCTACCTTAATGTAAAAAGTTTAATTCTATTTGTTTTATCAAAGTAATAGTGCATCCCATTCCTTGACGACAAAATAATGACAATAGTCGCTATGTAATACTGTAAAAATTATGTGAACGTGTGTTTACAGGTCGAGGGAGTTTTCTTCAACAATGTTTTTGATGTAGGCTCTGTTTTGCAAATTTTAACCAATCACGGGTTGGCGTGGAAGGTATACGTGAAAAACGGGGGCTCATTGAACTTCATATTTAGTAACGATCAGCTACCTGTTTGAAGCAAGTAGGTGAAGCTGCAATAGATGAGGTCTCTCTCAGGTAGTCTTCCCAACTAAATGGCTCTAGGAAAAGAATCAAACCAGGCTGTAACAAATAACACTACTCACACCGTTGAAAAGAAAGACACCACTTTGTTAGATACATAAAAGGCATTTACTCACTTACATTTTGAATATGACTTGGCTGTTTGGTGCAATGAAACATTGGGCTTTTGTCTATATTATGGTTGCCTTTTTTTTATCATGAATGGATCGGTATTAAGGCACGACATGACTTTTTTTGGTTTTGTTTTGTGATAATTAAGACTGGTTTCCCGGGAAGGAACCAGATTTCTAAACCGCGTGAGGTGGGAAAAAAATGGACTCCCAGCATTTCTCACTTTTTAACAGTGAATGAGGTAACCGATGACAAAATTAAGGGGAGCACTCACCATTAGATTTGTCGAGCACAGAGCCTGCGCCGATGCTCGGCCTCTCCTTCTTCTCCTCTTTCTGATCTGGAATCAAAAGATGGTCATTTGCATTCGAAACGGTACACTCACCAGACACTTCATTAGCGGCACCTGAAAACTCGACTGAAAACCATTATTCTTCGCTCTATCAAAAATCCAGCTGTTACAAATATTAGTGGCATGAGAAGAGAGAGAGAAGGCCAACCTTTGTGTGGTGTTCGGCCCATGATGACCAAGATGTTAGCCCGCAGCAGCAGAGGAAGTCAAACAGGCTCTTAACTAAAATAATAGACCATATAACCTCGTTAGAAACACACAAACACCACAGGAAAAAGCAGTGTAATCATAATAAAAAAAGATACCGGTCATTTGGAGCGGTTATTGGGCAATATACTGCATTATTAATAATGTTTTATATTTTTACCCATCAATTTTCAATTGAGTAGGTAATTTTACAACACCAGCACACCCAAAAAAAAACATTTTAAACACATTTATTAAAAAAAAATGTTTGACTAAAACACAGTTTTAGTCAAACCTAAAAATTAATTAGCAATTATTGTATGAATAAATTGCTATAAGTTTCGAACTGTATTTGAATTCTTCCAATATTGGATCTTAATTGGGGATTGTCATCCACCTTCATAGGCCTCTTAAGGTGAATGAAGATCAGAAAACCCACAATTTAAAAAAAATTAAGAATCATTTTTGATCTCCTGCCTCGAAAACATCGCCCATAGCAAAAAAAAAAAAAAAATCTACATACCGGTAGTTGCTAAAATTTTTGTTTTTCTTTGTGAGTAGATTCTCAGCTATCCAGGCCATTTCTAAAATCTAACATCAAATATTTTAGTTCTTTATTTTATATGAACTACTGTACAGAGGTATACATCATCTTGGGATACTTGTACTCCAATAAGAAAAAAAAATCAAGACAACTGAGACAATTTGGATGTGGTCTTCCTTTTCTTCTTCAATGCATTGCAGAGGTAGTGAAGAGAGAGTCGTTACATGCAGCTACACAAAATCAAGTGACTTGGACTCTGACTCAGGTGCAAAAAAATGTGGGACATCCTCACTCTTTTTGTTTGTTGAATTCATTGTTTTTTGCTAGTTTTCCGGAAACTTTCCAAAATGATTTCGACATTTATGCTATTTGGCTAAAAACAAAGTATCTTTAAACACTGGCTACAATTAATTGGAAGATTCATTAAGGTTGTTACCACATATTTTGAGGGTGAAAATCTGACTAATAATCCAGATCAGCCTTAACCATTGTCCAATTTTCAGATGTCAGTTGCAAATATTTAGCTGGGAGTAAATTAAATAATCCAAAACCGAAATACATCAAAAAGATGAATAATCCAAAATAATGCAGAATGTTCACCACAGAAGTGCAAACTCTGCAATGTAGTGTAACCGCTGCTCCCTGTGCGCTCTTGTGTTTTTGCAGAGAAAGCCATGGAGTGGGAAGGAGCCATAAAGATTCCAAGGTGCCATAAAAATCCATTAAGACGTGTGGATGTGGGGCGTCTGCAGACCCACATGAAAAGGATTCCTGTTCTGCCACTCGCTCAGCGACAGACAGCTTCAGTGTTTGCACACCTCAGTCTGCTCCACTCATGAGGGTCATGCTTTAAGAGCTCAGCAGACCAGGAAGCACTTCATTTTTTACAGCCTCCATTTCCACTCCAGCGGCCCCTGGACTGTGATTAGCATTATGATGCTTTACATGCACTAGATGAGGGGGAAAAATTGGTGGTTTCATGAGCAGTTGTAACTTTTGATTGACAGGAGTTGTCAAAGGCATTATTAACTCGAGGAGCGAGCGTTGAATAGATGACAACATTTGTGAGAACAAATAGGACCTTTCAAAATGAATTGCGCATTTCTAACCACATCCACAAAAAAACTGAGAGAAGTAGATACGGATAGGGTAGTACATGGAATGTGATTGAAACAAACCAGAGACAAATTGCGTTGGCTGATTTTTTCGTCTTTAAATATGGTGTCTGGAAGACAGGCATCATCTATGACAAAACACTTGTTGGTGGCCTGTCCGGGGGCTGTTTTTTCCAGTGTGCCACACCAGTTTTTAAATGCGATGTTTCAATTCACATATACTAAGGGATGAGGTCAATCAAAACAAACGTGGGTTTTATGTGGTTGCTAGCTTCCCCCAAATGATCGAAAATGATACATTTATCTTCGGTAACTCAGTAATATGTTTGTCTGTGGTTCGGTTTTACAATAGGATTCTTAATTTTTTCAATCATACATGCGGAACTTTGAGAATCACTGACCTTTATAATTTTAACTTAATTTCCAAGTTCAGTGGAACAATTCTAAAATAAATTTCAAGATGCTGAAAGAGCAACCCTGACAATTTGTCTGACATTCAATCAATTCATTGTTTTGACTGGACACACTGCTAATCGAATGAAAGAATTTCCAAGTTGATGTTTGCAATTTGAAAATAAATTAATCAGCACTGTTCGTGTTATGAAGTGTCATGGGAGGACTGCGTAAGACCCATTTATTTCCAACCCTTCAAGGTGATCAGATTGCACAGTTTGACATTGAGTGTGTTCATTCCTTCAGCAAATTCAGATATACAGTAATCCCTTGCTATAACATGGTTCATCTTTCACAGCTTCTCTGTTTCACAGATTATTTTTCGTGCATTTTTTTACAGTGCATTTTGTTCTGCATTTGGATTCGCAAAGTCTCCGCGCCTCATCGCTGTACCGCTTGCCAAATTTTCTCTATGACAAAACGGTCAGTTGTTTGTCAGAAAACGTATATATACTGTATATTTATACACTTTCACCTGAAAAAAGGTTTCATTCAATACAGTATTGTATACGTAATAATAATAATTGTAGAAAATAGAGATAATTACTTCACAGATTTACTGTACATCGGAACTTGTAATGACTGCGCTAGCTTTTCAGTATTACCAGATTTTGAATTTTGTTTGAATATTCAGTCATGTATTATTTAATGGTGGAGTTAATGAAAAAATACTTTTTGTCATATTTGTTGCAAAAAAGAAAGACGCCAATGTACTTCACTTTTAAGTACAATACATTTAATACTGAAGAAACAGTTGTTTTGAAACATTTACTTTGCCATCGTGGTGGTGCTTGGAAAGCGAAGGATTTTCTTCAGTGGAACATGTAAACAAGTTTCAATCCTGAAGAAATAATTGTTTTTAAACATTTATTCGGTCATGGGACTAGATAGGTAGATAGATAGATAGATCGGAGCGAGCAATATAAAAAGTGCATGACGCATTTCCATTCTTCCAAATTTGGTGGGCGGGACTCCTCTCATTATTCTCAAGGCTAACGGCTGCTAATGCTGAATTATTAAACACCACACTGGACTCCAAACTCACACAGTGGGCGCACTTGTTTACTAAACAGCGCGTGGGAATGCAGCGAACACAAGCGTAAAGCGCCGCACTTCAACGGAAACCACAAAACTGTAACAATAATAAGAAGTCGCCTTCATCCAAGCAACATGCAATACAGTGGAGGAAAAACACACTGCCACCACATATCCTCGGAAACGCCGCTATTCTGGCTCAAATGAGGGGAACGGGGAGGGTGAAATAACATCTCGGGAGTAGGCGCTGGACAAGAACAAGGAGAAAAGAAGACGTACCGAGCGTTGAAAGCGCTTATTTTGATGGTGAAGCCCTCACTTTCTGTCAGATGCAGGCGGCCGCCATGTTCGCTGCAGCTACGCGCATGTCCGTCGTCGCCGCCACCACCACACGCGCGCGCGCCCACACACGCAGGCACGTCCATAGCAACACACGAGTGTGTGTGTGTGTGTGCGTGTGTGCGTGTGTGCGTGTGTGTGTGTGTGTGTGTGTGCGTGTGTGTGTGCGCGTGTGTGAGTGAGATAGAGAAAGAGAGAGAGAGATGGCAAAATAATTAAATTCACTCGCTCCAAATGCAAATTTTGTTACGCCTTGGTTTTTGATAACCCAGATGTGACATGAAAACAAAAACAATGTATGTGTCGCTTCCAGATTTTTGACTGCACGAGAATAAGGACGGTTGTTTCAGCACCTCACTAGCATCTCAGTGGACTGATGACATCATTTTTTCAGTGGGATAGCCTTGTCGACCCTTTGCACAGCACACCGGAAACGCTGGAAAATCCGTGTTATTGACGCTCATAATAAATGCATACAAAACATTTTACAACCCCAGAATGGTGAATGCGACCCAGCCTCCTAAAAATAATGAAAAAAAAAAAACAGAAATTCTCAAATGGCTGAATCCATGAGTGCCGAGCTGTGAATCGAAGTGGGGTCAACTATAATCTATAACTGTACCGTCTAAATGTAAATTTTATTTTCAAACACTGACATTATTTTTGACCATCAGAAACGTAAAAATCTAAATTGAAACTCAGATGTCTGAAAAATACCCCAACATGCAGTATATCTATATCTTTAGTTTATAACAGAAAAAAAATCTGATAGCTCTTGTGGAATTTTTGAGACATCTGAGATTTAATTTGAATGCTGGAGTGTGTTGTACCCGAATCAGTACTTGTACTTTCATCACACTTGTTTTATAATTGTCTGTAATTCTACTTCAGTACAATGGGTGTACTTGTTCCACTTCAGCTTTCATACTTACATACCTGTCATTCTATACGTTTTTATTAACTTTTACTTACTTTCTATCAGTGATTCTATTTTTACCAGACTGTTATTTTTATTTTTTTGCAATTGTATCTATCTGTAGTGCTACCTCAGTACAGAGTTTTTGCTTTTTTATTTATAATACGGTGCATTTCAGAGCCTGTACTTTTTTGAATTATAAAGAAGTTTAATCAGTTCCACTTTTAGCAAAGCCTTTTTGCACATGTACCTGCACTTCTACTAAAACGCAGTGTGTGAGTACTTTTGCTACCTCATCTTTTGTGCTTAAATACATTCCAAAGAATGTACTTTTTTTTACTGATTCTTACATAAATACATTTTTTCACACAAGTACTGTATCTATATTTTACTTAAGTACTGAGTGTGAGTACTTTTACCACATCTGCCTTTATACTTAAATACTGTACATTTCTGAGTCTGCACTTTTTTGTTTCCTTTTTACTGATGGAAAGGAAGTGACTCAACACTTCTACTTTTACCAGCCATTTTCTTTTACATTTACACTACAACTTAACACTATGTAACCTTTACAAATGACTTTTTTCAGTGCAGAAGGGCCACATGCACGGTGGTTTTACTGCCTTCATGCGGGGTGGGGTGGGCAGTGGGTGCAGAGCGAGGACAGGCTGCCGCATGATTTGAACACAACATTCAGAAAAGGCGAAACGTGCGTTCACGGACTAATCCTTAAAATGTTCGATTCCAATCCGAAGTTTGTATGTCATCTTCTCGGCTCATGATGTTGGATGCTGAATGCGATGCTGCGAGTTTTCGATTGGTTCACAGCGGCGTCGCTCATCGGACTGACAATTTTTTTAAGACCTACTTGCAGCTCGAACCAGCTGATGATACCCAGGCAGTGAACGCGGAGCTTGGGAAGAAGTGTCACATGCAATTTACGCCCCGTCATCGGCGTTTTATTGACCGAGGATTCGCTCTCACCTCCGTCCATTGAGTGAGTGATTTTTCATCATGTCACGACGCATAGGCCTGATTGGGCTTTTTCTCCCCTCTGTCTCCTCACTCTCTCACACACACACGGCTCTTCATTTTCCAATCTCATCCTCTCCAGTGTTCATGACGCCTGCTTGAGCAACCTCACCTCACATCTGTAAGGTAAACACACACACATACATACATACATACATACATACACGCACACGCGCGCACACACAGACGCACACAAAGCATCGTCTCGGATGGCTTTTTTGCATCTTAGTGATGGCTCGTTGAAGGCTTTGAGAATGCTGAGTGATTCGCGCGTCTTTGTCGGCGCAACGTTGTCGTGGACATACTCGGAATATAATGTATGCACCGGTTGCTGAGTAGGCTGAGGGAGAAGCGTGCACAGTGCTGGAATGGTGGCGCGCTCTGCAACGCAGTTAAACTGTGCAGCGGTGTCCGTGCAACATCCCGTACATCGTCTCTTCATCACATTTCTTATCTCTCTCACGCATAACCGCGGGAGGCGTGTTTGTTACATCTACGGTATCAAAGTCATTCTTGATTTCTGGGTATGCAAGACGCACACAAATCAGGACTGTCACGAGGATGTTTCTCCACCTATAGAGCTGCTCAGCTTTTTTTGAAAAGGTTTGTTTAATGGGCTCATACTGTTCAGTGGCAGGAGCATATCATTCGATGGCCTCAATCGCTTCTCCTGGAAGGATATGTGGCAGAGTGGAGAGTGCACTGCATAGGAAGACGCCCACACAGGCGCATGAGCCACATCATCATTAAAAGTGTGTTTTTTGGAGATGATGATCAAGTGTTGGATACATAGCTGTTATTGGGAAGTAACAAATAATCAGTTACTGTACTCAAGTAGATTTTTCAGGTACCTATACTTTGCTTGAGTAATTATTTTACGGATGACTTATTACTTTTACCACCTAGATTTGAAAACAAAGATTTGTACTTTATAATCCTATAAAAAGGGGTTGTCAAAAAACAAAACAAAACAAAACAAAAAACCAAGGACAGCACAGACATGATGACAAAGCGACAGATTCAGGGAAGCAAGCTGTCCCCCAATCCAAAACTGTTTTGTGCTGTCACCTTGAATGTTTTGTCACAAATTTCTTCAGTCAAAACCCCCCCACACTTTTCAAATCTCATCTGAAAAACATATTATTCTATTATTCTAAGTGGATTTTTTTGGTGATTTTTAGAGGGAGCCAAGCCAGGTGTATGAATATCACCCACCCCAAAAACAAACAAACAAACAAACAAACTAACTAACGAACAAGAAAGACAATGCAAGTAGGAGATACACCCTATTAATCAAATAATAATTAAACCAAATTTAGTACCATTACTTTAAATTGATGAATAACTTTGAGAATGTATTTTGTGGCAAAAATTTTATAATTTTTGCATGCGCTGCCTTGGTAAAAGAAAAAAAAAACATGTTGTCTATTGCTTTTATAGTTCGTTGGCTGTAGTGATAAGGTCAGATTAACATCAAATACATATTGTGAGGTTTCTGTGGAAAATGTCCCTGTTGCGTTGCATTGCATTGCATAGTGACCTTATGTAACATGACAATATGTCTCCAGCGCATGACTTTGGATGTAAATAAATGAATAAATAGAATCATACAAAATTTTACTGTACCATCTTACTACTTACAGAAGTTGAATTAGTACCTCTGCTTTAACCAATTCTTTTTCTACACATGTATCTGTAGATTTAAGTACCAAGTGTGAGCACTTTTGTGAGCACAAACCGATGAGACAACGAGGCACATCTGAACAGGACAAGAGTGGCTGGAGGGAGCTGATTTGATGACACAAAGAACAGTGCTGACAAGCGAGAACAGGTGGAGATGAAAACCTAGCCATTAGACATGGAGAAAGGACAGAGGACAACATGACATAACATGAACCAAAACTAAAATGTAATATAAACAAAGTCAACAAAAACACAGCTCATCATAGTACTAGTGCAAATATCTCTCTCTCTCTCTCTCTCTCTCTCTCTCTCTCTCTCTCTCTCTCGCTCTCTCTCTCGCTCTCTTTATATACACACACACATATATATATATATATATATGTGTGTGTATGTGTGTATATTGTTAGGTATTGTAGCAATATGCAATATAGGTGTCTGTGACTCAGGAGGTGTGGTGTGTGGTCTTGTAATACGTATGGATGAGTCACTTCCTGCTCTTCATGCACCCAAGTGCCCTTGAGCGAGACACTGAGGGGCAACTCGGCACAGCTGCTGTTTCCGTGTGAATGAATGACTTTCTCGAGCACCCTTGATGAGGAAAAAAGCTCCAGACTACTACAGCTGGGCAACTGGCGCCCGGGTTCATCATGCTAATGCTGAAACATTGTATAGTATCATGCATTCTTGAGTTCTTGTTCTAGTCCAAAACAAAGCATGCGGCTCTGGCTCATGGGTAGTGTCAGTGCGTTTGTTTTCTTGTCAGCTCAATTTATGTATACGGGTGACATTGACCTTTTGGACTAATCAGTTATTACTTTGTCAGGAGAATTGATCTTCAAGGCACAGTGAAAATGTAACTGTTAATGGCAAACAACTTGATGATATATGGGGGAATATGCTCAAGATACACCGAAAAGAGGTGAAAATCTGTTTGTTTGTTTGTTTGTTTGTTTGTTTGTTTGTTTATTGAACATATATAAAACATACAATAACATGACAAAATGCAAACAAAAATTATGAAAGGAAAATAAAAGTAAGTAATACAAACATCATCACAGTTATATGTTCAAAGGAGTAGGAAGAAGTATAGAACTTATCTAGTCCTACCCCTTTTTGAGCAATAATGTATATTGATCATTTCCAATACCAAAGAAAAGAAGAAATCTAAATTTCATCAAATACTTTTACCCTTTTGTGTACTATGCTTATCTATTGATACACCTTTCGGTTTGTATATATGTATCATTATTCTTTCTACTTTTTATATCAAATGACTCATATTCATTATATATACCACATTTCTTGAATACATTCAATAAGTTGTTCAAAATCCAGAACAAGAACAAACCATAGTATTACTATATTTTATAAGTACCAGTATATAAAATTTATCTTCTTAACTTTGTTTTATGTAGTTTTTTTGTACTAATCTTTTGAATTTGTTTTTGAACTCGTCCAACGATTTACTCATTTTCAGATCCATCTCAAGCTTATTCCACAGATTAACTCCTATTACTGATACACACCTTTGCTTGATGTTTGTTCTTGTTCTGGATTTTTTGTATTGATTAATACCTCTTAGATTATAACAACTATCTCTGATTTCAAAAAGCTTCTGGATATTTTGACAAAGGAGATTGTTATGTGCTTTATACATTAATTGGGCAATTTTGAAGTCAACCAGGTCATAGAATTTCATTGTATTTGATTTGATGAATAGTGGATTTGTGGGTTCGATATATTTAGACCAATTGATTATTCTGATTGCTTTTTTCTGTAGTTTTAAGACAGGGAGTGTGTTTGATTTACAGGCGTTACCCCATATTTCCACACAGTAGGTCATATATGGGAGTAATAATGAGTAATATAATGTGTACAAGGAACTCATATTCAACACATCCTTAGTTTTATGGAGTATCCCGATGGTTTTGGATATTTTCCTTTTAACATTATCAATATGTGGCTTCCAGGATAGTTTGGTGTCTATTACTAGTCCAAGAAACTTATTTTCATAAACTCTTTCTATTTCAATTGAATTTATCTTTATTTTAACTTGGTCTTTAATAGGTCTCGTACCAAAAATAACTAACTTAGTTTTTGTTAAATTTAAAGATAGTTTATTTCTGTCGAACCAGTTTTTTAATTTGGTTAATTCATTTTCCACAGTTTTCAGGAGTTGTTCCATATTTTTTCCACAGCAGTAGAAGGTTGTGTCATCAGCGAATAGGACACATTTGAATTGTTTTGTAACACTACAGATGTCATTTATATATAGAATGAATAATTTTGGTCCAAGCACTGATCCCTGTGGCACTCCATGGGTAATCTTCAGTGAGTTGGATTTTTGGTTGTTGAATTGCACATACTGATATCTATTTTCTAAATAACTTTCAATCCATTTATATGCTATGCCTCTGATACCATATCTCTCTAATTTATTCAATAATATAGTATGATCTATTGTATCGAAAGCTTTTTTTAGATCGAGAAAAATCCCAACAGTGAATTCTTTATTGTCTATATCAGTAGCTATTGCTTTCACAAACTCCATTACTGCCATTAAGGTTGTACGTTTTTCTCTGAAGCCATATTGATTTTCACTTAACAGCCCGTGTTTGTTTATAAAGTTGTCAAGTCTGTGAGAGAATAATTTTTCTAATATTTTTGAAAATTGTGGTAGCAGTGATATTGGTCTATAATTTGTGAATAATTTTTTTTCTCCACTTTTAAAAATTGGAATGACTTTAGCTATTTTCATTTTTGATGGAAAAATACCTGCTTGAAATGACAAGTTGCATATGTATGTAAAAGGTCGCACTACAATTTCTATGATCTGTTTTACTATTGTCATATCAATATTAAAACAGTCAGTTGATTTTTTACTTTTATATGTTTTTACAATATTTAATATTTCATTTTGATTCACTGCAGTAAGAAACATTGTGGAAGAATTTTTTTCTATGTATTTATCTATTTCAAAACAATTTATTGGATCAGGAATTTGTTTTGCTAAGTTGCTGCCAATATTAACAAAATATTCATTAAATTCCTTTGCTATTTGTGCAGTATCCTCAATAATGGTATTTTTATCTTTCATAAAGTACTCCGGATAATCGACTTTACTAGAGCGATTTCTAATTACCTGATTTAAGATTTTCCATATTTCTTGAGTGTTGCTTTTATTTTGCTCCAATAATGTATGAAAATGGTCTCTCTTGCTGGTTCTTATAATGTTTACTAATTTATCTAAACAAAAGTCTTGTATTTTGTTTCAGCTTCTTTGGTTCTGGATTTTAGAAACGATTTGTATAGATTGTTTTTCTTTTTACATGCATTTTCTATACCTTTTGTTATCCATGGCTTACTTTGGTTATTGTACTTTCTGGTGATCTTAATTGCTGGGAAATGCTTGTCATATAAGGAGGTTATGGTTGACTGAAATG